TATTTTAATATTGTTCCATTTACAATTGAACAATTAAGCTTAATTCAAGTTCATTCCACTTATATCCACATTATCAAATTCTGATCCATTGAAATTGCATCTTACAAAATTTCCACCAACCAAAGAAGTATCTCTAATCCTTATATTCTCAAAGCTTTATTCTCTCAAATCCACTTTCATTTCTACTAATAAATTGAGTGCATTCGATCCGCTTTAGATAAATCTCTCATCAATGGCTGTCAGACGTACGAGGAATTTCAAAATTCAACAATTTGCTCCTCTTAACAAATCTTGTTCTTCAAATCCTTCCTAATTTCTTCAAATTCTTCCTTTGAGTAATCCTTTATCAAGTTCACTTATATTTTTGAGCAGATTATGAATAAATCTCTACTTAAATTATGCTTAATGGAGCTTACTAGATAGATATGTATATTATGAGCAATTTGTTATTTTTTCTTACCTTAGCCTTTCCAACATCTCATCAAAGTCAATTTTATTTTTCTCTATGTCAATATTTCATATAAATCATCCTTCCTCATATAAGCTTGTTCATCCTATTTTACTTCTTCCCTTATGTATCTAATTTCTTTAGTTGTTGATTTCATTCACTTAATGAATGATCATGCCTTTCAACTTAATCTTTATATTGCAAGGGTTAGTTTTAGGTGCTTGTTCAAAAATGTGTTGTTGGATGCATTGTGTTGGTAAAGAAGGACATAGCAGATATTCAAATGAATCTCATAGCTATTGATCTAATTCTCCTAAACAGGTATTAGCAAGCACTTTAGTGTCTTAGCATATTTGTAAAAAGAATATTTAATATAATGATATGGAAAAAAACGATTTTCTATTAGAGTGTATTTATATACATGAAATGTGATTGTTTACGAGCAATAGGTAAAGGAATATTTAAGGATGTGAAAGAATGAATTTAGTTAAAGAAAAATTTGTTGCTTTTAATTGACATACTTACTAGCATGAAAAAGGAGTATAAGACATCAGCATGTGACTGACGACTCATGGCGGCTTGTTATGCTTCACTTTCAACATGAACTCCTATTTTCAAATTAAAACACTGATTCAAAGAACCAACTTCCTTTTTGTTTAAATAATGTCTCCTGATTGATTAATAAATTCTCCCTTCAAAAGTAGAGCTTTGTAAGTTTAAAATATTAGCTATTGTGATATCAGAAGAATAGTGTTAGGAACAGTAACTAAAGAATAATGAATAATAAATACCACTTTCTCGGAGTAGATTGTTTGTAAAAGTAGGAGGTGAAAATTTTGTTAATATGTTTTTATAACGATTATTAGAAGATAAGATTTATTATCCTATATTTACATCCCATAAACAGATAGAGCTATCTTCACTGCCAGATGCTAATGTAGGAGAATAACAAATTGAATAAACTGTTCCAGAATGACCATCTAATTCGGCATTTTATTATCTTGTCTTAACATCCCATAAACGGATAGACTTATCTCCACTACCAGATGCTACCTGATATGACTTGTGCTATTATTTTTGATACTTGAAAAACATGTTAATAATACTTTGCTATCATTAATTAGAACCTAAAAATAATGTGATGCAATTTAAAAATATATTATTGCTCTTCTTATGACCACTCTTATGCATGTCGTGACGCGAGCATCCTTTAAGGCTATAAAAGCTAACTTTTGGTAAAGCTCTTGGTGTTTAACTAAAATGGATTTAGTGCACTAGTAACTCAATATCTTCCTATCCATGTTGCACATGAGTATATTCTCATTCTTATTGTTTCGTCAATTTCATTACTTGATAATTGCTCATACTTTGCTCTACTTAGAAGCTAAACTTCTCAAACAGCTTTCCATTTGGAACAACACCAACTTTGTTCCTATGTAGACTTAACTTATTGAAAAAATAAAGTAATTATGGACTTGATAAATAGATTAAACAAGTAAAGTTGTATACTTAAGGATATTCACATTATTAGTATATGCACTTAGACTATCCTTCAAAAGTGTACTGAAAATACTAAAAATTTAAAATCAACAAAATTCTTTTTAATAAAGGTTTAGAGTAACCATTTTTCATTTAATTCTATCACTCTAATAAATCTTCCTTTTTCAAACAGCTTAGATGGTAAATACGTAATTCACATATTTTAACTCTTGCTCTTATGATATTGATTGTTGTTAGTACCTCTGCTAGATCTGTAAGAAATCTTATTTTTTGTTACTCCAAACTCTATAAAATCTATAAATTAATTACTTTTTCTTCTTTAATTTGGTGCAAAATTGTTCAAGCAAGTAAATGTCATTTGCTTTATTTTATACTAGGGGTTGCTGTAAAATTAATTTTTGATTCTACCTTATAAATAAAACCTTGAGATTTCACAATTAATTTAAAGATCTGCTTTGAAATGATTTTCCTGCTTAATTGATACATTGCAAAAGTCCTCGTATATTCTACATTATCAGATTGGATTTGCTGTCATCTTACTTGATTTTCTAAATTTAAAACAGCGTGTTTAAATACTTATTAGTTTATATCTATAAGTTATACATAATTTAATTCACTGAGTGTACTGAGAATACTATGAAAAGCATGTATTTTAATCCAGCAAAAAGTGCAATTATTGAGAGGATGTGTTAAAGCTTTTCATACTATTTTGAGATATTTACAATCAGTTTATTATTGATAATACTTTTCATGAAGAGGGAACCAGTATATGTTGGCGCAAGTTAAAGTAGTTTTTCTGCATATAATGTAATTTTAACCGTAATGATTGAGCAACAGCAAGTTTATCACGTTGTTATCAGATATGAATTATCCTCTCTGGTCTATGTACTTAAACTAGAATTGACTTGTTATATGAAGAATTTGGCAAATTGCCTAAGAATTTTAGAAGTTTTGAGACTTAACTAGATGTTTGCTCAAGAAAAATACTCATCAAAGCAAGTTAGTTGTTCTTATAATTGATCTGCAAATTAAGACATTGAGAATAAAGGCAAAAATTTGTTCTTATTGATTTTGAGCAAGATTTTTTTGAAGCCATCATTATTTCAGCTGTTAGAGACAGAAATCAGCTGCTCTATTCCTAAATATGGTGAATTGATTAAAGACTAAACAAAGGAAGAATACGAAGTGCAAATTGTACCAATTTTTATACATCCTTTACACTTCTCTATAGAAATCGTATGTAGGCTCTAAAATATTGACTCCATTTCTTTCATCCAAAAAGTATTTATTAATTCACCCCATCTCAAATTAGTAAAGTAACATACAGATCTTCATTTGGAATTAGTGTTATTAATTAAGGATTAATTATACATTTCATAAGGTTGTTTCGTCCAGCCTTCTGTGAAGAGGGTTTCTCATTAAGATTTTATTTACAAGGATTGAAATAAATTGGTAAAACAGTTGATTTTAAATGAGTTTTGGTTTGTTAATTCTTCAGTCTCCTTAGCAATAATATAAAAAGCACTTAATCCGAACAAAAGATTAGCTTCAATATACAATTCTTACACTATGTAACTATAATATTATAGTACTAAATTGACAATTGAGAAGTTGGCACAACATGTTACAACATTTTGGATATCTCATACTAACATGGATAAATTTGTAGTAATTATCATTACATAGAGAAGCAAACCTAGCATTTAAAATAGAACAAGAACTATACTTTAAATTTTACAATATAAATATAATATGCATTAATATCTGAAACAGTCCCTAATAAATTATACTCAAGTTGTATTAATTAATACATAATTTGTAAAGATCCCAAAAATCAGAGTTTAAATTTATGGCTATAAAATGAAGGTATTGACATTTTAATTTTGAAATCTTATATCTTGTGACAAGGTGTTTTGATAATTTGTTTGTATTTTATTCTAGATTCATAAGTTTCTTTGTTTAGTTATTATGATAAATTATTATCAGCTCTTCATAATTAATTAATATGGGATTGTTTGAGATAAAATTCACAAGGTACTTTTGGGTTCATAGTTTAAAACTCTATTCTTATAGAAATGATTAGAAGACATCCGTCAATGGGATGTTAACACAGGATAAAATTAGATGGTCATTCTGGGACAGTTTAATCAATTTGTTACCCTCCTGATGGTTCTACATAAGCATCTGGCAGTAGGGGATAACTCAATTCGTCTATGGAATGTAATGGCAC